AGGCCTTTCTGGGTACTGATCCCAACGGAGGGGGAACAAAGGAGAGGGTCCTCTCGGGAGGCCAGCATGGAGGAGTGAGCCCTGGGAGCTCTGCCACACACACCCACGAGTCTCTGCATGCCTTCTGGCCGTGCCATCCTTCAATACAGCGCCAAGAACTAGAGGCCCCGCCCAGGCGGGCAGAGATTGGCGACTCGGGCTTCCAGTAGGCCTGCAGGAGCCGAGTGCAGTAGTCAATAATGAGTGAAGGGTCATGTTGGAGGCAGCTGCCTGCGCCCACATCCCAGCTCCAAACCGTCGGCTATAAGTGGCAGTGGGAGTAAAGCAACCAGAGTGGACGAGGGATCACCAGGGAGGACCAGTCTGGGGGGGAACTGGTGGCACAGCCCAGGTTCTGGCACTGGAGTTGAGCGAGAGGAAAGCCAGGCATCAAGTTAAGAGGCAGGCACAGGCTGTGAGAACGCCAGTAAGGAAGAGCCTCAGTACCGGGGCGGGCTGGTCCTGGAGGGGGACATTGCCTGTGGGAGGGTGTGGGCCAGGCCTCGGGAGCGAGGGTGGGCCAGCGCAGCAGCTTCAGAATTCCCCCTACCCTGGAAGCTCCAGTCACCTTAGGATCCAGGGCACCAGAGGAGAGGGTAAAGGTTAAGGTGGGCGGGGTTTCTTGGTGACAAAGGTGTACAAGAGGGGTTGTGGAAGAAAGCTCAGTGGCGGATCTCCCTGCCAGGGGCAGCAACTGATTAAGGGACTGGAGGCCAGGAGCCTCGCAGGCCTGGCTGGAAGAGGTTCAGAGGTTAGAACCTCAACCTGTGGCTGAGGTGCCACAGGCAGGCCACCGAGGTCTGTGAAGGGTGCGGCCAGCCGGGAGACATGGGACATGGTGGTTAGCAGACCATGCTGCCCATTCTTTGGGATACAAAGCCCTGTCCACGGAAGTCTGTGGAGACTGAGGGTTGGACTCATCCCAGGCCTCAGGGAGTCAGCCTTCATCCTTCCACCCCCACTGCCCCTCAGGGTCCTGAAGAAGCAGAAATCACCAGTCTAGACTCCAAAGCTGGGAAGGAATGGGCATTCCTCCCTGCCATTGGCACCCACCCAGGGGTGACTCCAGGTGTAGGGTGGGTGAGGTACTGGGACAGGACTTATGTCAAAGGCAGGCCTTGGATAAGCTGTTCTCCCCGCCGATTGTTCATATGCAAATTTGGCGAATGCTTACCCCAGCCTGGGGACAGTGAAGGTCAAAGGTCCCTGACCTCTACCAATAACAGGGGCTTTCACTCCTAGGGTTTTACTGTTGACAGTGCTCCCCAGAAGAGGGTGCCCACCTCCATGTGAGCCCCACCACGAGCAGCCTACCAACTGACATCCTCCCGAAGGTCAGGCGCCCCTGCTGTCCACTCTGATGAAGTCTAGGCAGGCCTGTCTCTGCTGGGGTTCAGCTGGCTCTGGGATGACCTGGTTTGACTACATGTCTCCAAAGACTTTGGGCCTCTCAGCTCATACCTGCCAACCTGAGTATCAGGGGGCATTGCTGGGGCAGGGGGGGGTCCCTGTTCCTGGCCTGTCCCTGACCAGCACAGTCCCACCCCTCATCTCAATTTGATTCATCCTGTCTAGAGCTTGAGGGCTGTGGGTGGCTGTGGAAGCCTCTCTGTCCCCTGGGTGGCCCCTCCCCAGAAGCAGCATGAGTCAGCTGTCTGTGGAGGCCTCCTCAGACAGTGGGGGTCAAGATGTGAGCAGCAGGAAGCAGAGGCCAGATTTTGCACCTTCTCCTGTTCTCATTTTCTCCACTGGCATTGAGAAGGGCTTGTTGGTGGCTGTCAAGCCTGAGGAGCAGCAGGAGCCCCTATGGGAAGAGTAGACACACCTCTGCAGGCCCTGCTGTACCTACTCGGGTGATGCTAGATCACTCTTGGGCCAGGCCTGAATTCAGGCTGGAGATCCTAAGCAGAGCCGAACAGCAGAGCCTAACCCCACTTCCTGGCCCAGAGCAGACTAACCTGCCAGCTGCTTTGCATTGGGGGGGGGGGGGGGGGGGGG